ATTAGTTGGACGGAATTATTTTTCCGGCGAAAAATTTTGTCGGAAATAGTTTCGGCGTATTATTTAAAGCCGGAAGGACTTTTCCGACGCACATCTTACTATTAGAATAATTTTCCCAGGAAATCTGTTAGAAATGCCAATTTTCGACGATTTTTTGTCATTTTTTTGGCGAAAATGGCCGCCAAAAAATAGCATTTTTCCTGTAGTGATGGTGAAAACCTTGGTTTGAGCAACCTTTATGAATCCCTTACAACTCCCCCTCATAAGAAACTCACTCTCTCTCTCTCTCTATCTCTCTATCTCTCTCCCTCTCTCCCTTCCAAGCTCTCTCTGCCTTCTTTAATCTATCTCTTAGATTAACTTCACAACAAAAGATAGTCTCAAGGGATAATAAGAGAGCTTAAATAGAGAGCCTCAAAAGAAGCCCTAATTTTTAAATTGTTGTCAAATATTGTCAAGTTTGATTTATAGATCGTGATGTACTATTAGTACAAAATAACCCTTTCATTATACATTATTATTAGCTTTGCCCTGTACGTATTTATACAAATCATCCTATATAATTATGTCATCATCATAGACAATTAGTTCAAGATATTATATTGATCGTCCAGTATGACATGTGATGATGGGTAGCAATCTATATATCATCCAGTAATACTCTCTAGACATCCAATATGATCTCCCGAACAATTAGAAAAAAACTATGATTTTCATCTTGGATGATAGAGGATCATTCTATGAAATATAATAGATCATCCTGAATGATCTAAGTGGATCATCTTGTACAATCTGATCGAGCAATCTAAGAATAATTACTCTCCTAATAAGAGGATCAATTTAGGTATGATTGTTATAAATCATCCATGATGATCTATATCATCCTGTACGATTATGACAAAATTTGAAAATTAAAATTTTACCTAAATTGCGATTGGCGGTTATTTTTCATAATCTAATTTGATCATCCTATATGATATGCATTATATAATATGATTAGTTTAATCATTCTTAATTAATAGGGATGTCTTAATTAGGTTTTCAATTTTTAACTAATCATCCAGTACGATTGAAATCATCCTATAAGATTAGGTCAAAAATAGAAATTTCTCTAACTCACCAAATCACTCTCCTAAGAGTGTGTGTGCAAGGTTACATAGCATGGGGTCCACCAGATGCATCACTTGACTTAAGAAAGATAAAAGTACATTGAAATTGAAATTACAAATAAACTCAACCCTAGTCTACCCGATCTTGAGTTGATTTACATTGCAATTGAACTTATGGACCTGATAGGTTAGTAAGCACAACAAATAAAATAAATATGTAATACTAATAGTAGTAAAGAAACAATAATGTTTGTTATCATCAAAATTAGAGTACTTGGACCTAAATTCACAATATATGCTAACCTAATAGTAGATGGAATTCATCATAGTATTTGTATAACTACTATACATGTTAATAATTTTGTGTTAAAAAATGAAATAATTCAAATAGTTCAAAATTCACAATTTTGGGGAACTCCTATTTTAGATCTCAATTTATACATAGCCAATTTCTTAGGAATTCTTATAATATTTAAGTATAATAATGTCAGTGATGTTGCTATTAGGCTTAGATTATTTCTATTTTCTCTAAGGGACAAGGCTAAGACATTGTTAATTTCTTTACCCTTAAGCTCTATAATAACTTGGAATGAGTTGGGTGATACATTTCTAGCTAAGTATTTCCCAACTTTAAAAATTGGCAAACTTAAAAAGGATATCGCATCTTTTGCCCAATTTGAAGGAGAATCCATTTATGAAAGTTGCGGGAGATTTAAAGAAATGCTTAGGAAATGTCCTTACCATGCCTTACTCAATTAGTTGGTTATTCAGAATTTTTTATAATAGATTAGCTAAATCTTTAAGGTTAATCATAAACTCTATAGTTAGAGGATTTTTAATGTATAAGCCATTTAAGAAAACGTATGAACTAATAGAAGAAATTGATACTAATAATTTCTAGCGGCTTGTTGATAGGATACATCCTAAGAGAATAGCCGGAGTCTATCAATCAGATACTTTGTTTATTCTAACTACAAAAGTTATAGTAATTTTTTAGAAATTGAACACAATAGCAATAAATTTAAGATTAAGATCTAAATCATCTATGTGATTCGAAGACCAAGATGTGAATTAGAATAAAGATAATAATATACAAGGGATTAAAAAATATGAATTAATTAAAAGATGAATAATCCTTATTCTAATGCATATAATTCAAGTTGGAGGAAACATCCTAATTTCAATTGATCCAATAATAATGTTGGTGATAAAAATTAATAGAATTCTAGTCGAAATAATCATGGTGAAAATTGAAACAATCCTTAGTAATATGCGGTTAATCCTAACCTTATTATCCTATGGGATTAAATCAAAACAATCAGTTTGAAATTAGAAAGTCAACTTTGAAAGAGGTTGTGATTCAATTAAGAACTTAATTGTGAAGTCAAACTACTGCTAATAAAATTTGGAAACTCAATTAGGAGAGCTTACAATCTCATTTAGTAGTTGACCTCTTAGATCATTGCCTAGTAATTCCGAAATTAATTATAAGGAGAAATGAAAAGATCTTAGTGGAAATCACTTGAGTGGTAGTGATGTACCTCAGCCAAATAATTAAATCTAAGCAAGTCTAGTTTAAGACTATAAATTTAGTGCTATTTGGGAGGCAACCCATCTTTGTGTTTATGTGTACTTTGTATATTGATATAGCTTTCCTGTTTATGAATTTGATCATCAATTTTCTTGTGTAAAAAAATAAAAAACATCGCTTCCACATTAAGATTAGCATCATGATGCTCATTTGTGTCAAAAATTGTAACACTTATTTAGCTAAAAAATATTACTTTTCTTAGTTTTCTCTCTAACTTTGTGAGAGTCCCTCCCGAGTTAGTGTTCTTGTTTCTCTCATCCTTCTTGGGCTTCTAAGATAATGGGTGGAAAGAAGGGAAATGATTCTTCCTTAAAGTGGAAAAAAATTATCTATGAGAAGGAAGATTCATTTTTAATTATGAACTTTCAGAGTTCTTCAATTACAAACAAACTAAAAGAACCCATAAATAATGTTTATGAAATTGTAAAGATTTATGTTTTAGAAATCAAGAAGTTGCATGGGTGTGATGTTCTCAAATATAAATTTTCACCTTGTCAAGATGTTTGGCTTTATTATTTTAGAAAAAAAAAATCATGAAAAACTTAAGTGTAGATGGACCGGGCCATTTACTGTTATTAAAATATATTAATATGGTGTGATAAAAATTTAGGATAAAATGTCATTTCATATTTTTAAGCTTAATGGTTGTAGATTAAAACCTTATGAATGATGATATTGAGGAAGAGAAAGATCATGATTCTTTTGGTTATGAGACTTTGTATTTCATGGATAGTGAGTGAGAGAGAGAGAGAAAGAGAGAGAGAGAGAGAGAGAGAGAGAGAGAGAGAGAGAGAGATATTGATAAGAGTGTTTTGTTAGTTTTTGTTACTTAGTTTGTGTTATTTTTTATTATTACATTTTCATTTCTTGGTATAATTATTATCGTTTCATAAGATGGATTTGATGATTGTGAGAGTCATTTTGATGTGATATTAGAGTGATGCCTTAAGCACTAGTTATCTTATTATTAATGTATCACATGTTATGTGCCTTTTTTATCATTTATTTAAGAAGAAGCATATGTTATTAATTGTAGTTACCATGTTTTTGTATTTACATTTGATTTTATTATCCTTATGCTTAAAACTTTTTACATTGTAATCTATTAACATATGCACTTTTTGATTATTTATTTAGCCAAAATATAAATGATAGATAAAAATTATATAAAATCAAAAAAATAATAAAATCCTAGATAATAGTTTGAATTAACAATACATTATATTTCATATTTGAAAAATGTAATAATTAACTAACATAGATCATTTAAGCTATTGACTTGTCTTAAATTTACAATTTATACTAAGGCCAAAAATTATTTCAGGGTAGCTTAAAATTAGAAATCATGATAACTTGAAATTAGAACTAGTGATCTTATTAAATTCTTGTATTAAAATAATTAAGATTATAAGAGGATATAAGAAAAATTGATATTCAAAATTATTAATTATGTACTCCATGAGAATGAAAAGAAAAAAAGGAAAATAGTTCTAAAATAAATATTTGGAGAAAGAAAGAAAAGAATAGTATATTAAAATCATACACAAAGACTCAAACCCCAGATCTCTTAATTGGAATCCTAAGCTCTCAACCAACAGGCCAAGGTGAGTTGTGTGTACCTTATTCATTTTAAGATTCAATAGTTCATGTTATATTCATAGCATATAAATTCAAAACAAGCAATGATAAGGGTGACTGAATAAGATAATTGTTATAGATTTTTTAAAACTAGAATTGTAACTTTGTTCATTCCAAATTACTTCTATATTGTAATATATTATACTACAGTTTAGTAATTTTAAATTATCAAGTTTTATTTTGGTTAAAAATTAATCAAAAGTGAAGATATTTTTTATTGCTTAAGGACAAAAAAGAGTTTAAGTTGTTGAGAATTTATTGTATAAATTATGTAATGTATATTATATTTGAATTTGAGTAAAAAATATATTATTTTAGTTATTTTTATATAGAAAGTACTCAAAAATGAAAAAAAAAACATAAAGTACCACATAGAACCACGGTGCTAGATGAAGCAACATTGTTGCATTGAAATCAACTCCTTCAAAGTGCCATTTTTGGACATTGCAGTGCCATCCTCTCCGTTTACTAGTTCTGCAACATCATCACATACATTGCCATTTTATTGAATTTTCAACTTAGTACCACCTTGTTCTCGAGAAAATAAATGCTACAATTCAAAATGCCCCAATGTTAGAAACTCCATAATGACATTGTAGCGCTCATATTCCGGAAGTACAATGATGTAACAATTACAACATAGAGCCACAACCAACAAAGCAAAAGGATGTGTCTATTCAATTAGTAACCATTTAACATCATCGAGCATTGTATGGAGCCACCTTTAGTGTCGAGGCACTAGTTCAACTTTAAGTACCAAAGTGCTTGAGGTTGTTTTTTTTTGTTTTCCTATAAATAGATGTTCAATTTTATTGGTAGAGAGTTGAGCCACTTAAGTAAAATTCAGAATATTTACACTGTATTTCTCTAGTACTCTCTTAGAGTAAAATCTAAGAGAGGCTAAGGAAGTATAAGATATAATATTTGATAGAGTTTAGCCTGTATTTGTGTAAGCAACTATGTAAGTAAAGGAAGAAAAAGTGTAGAAAATATAATATTATCCTTTCTAGTGATAAAATTTTATTACTTCTTTTATACTTAATTCTTCTATGAACATAATTAAAATGAGTTTTCTTATTCTTACTTCTATGTCTAGCTAGATCTCTTATTTTGGATTGATGAGGTAAAAAATATATTAAGTACTAATGTATACTCTTAAACTCTTAAAATTTTATAAATATTTTTAATATAACTCATTCTTCACTTAATGCATACAATGGCTATGTACGTAGTTAAAATTTAGTGTGATGTATAACCTTGATGAAGGAATACAAGAACTATTAGAATTAATGAGATAGAACATTGGGATGCCTAGATAAAAGATGTTTGAATATTTTAGGTTCTATGGAGACATTTAAACTGTAGAAAATCAATAGATATCCTTTTCTCCCCTAAAAGCTCGATAGAGATCTAGGGATGCATTTGCTTTGATCCACATCTAAAATAAGACTATCAATAGAAAACATATGGTATTTATATGTATTAATAAAAAATATTTTATTAAAATTGAATCAACTATTTAACTTAATTTTATTCAATGGTAAGAACTTCAAAACATTAATTTTATTTTAGTAGAATAACTAATGTACAACAACAACAACAACAAC